TCGCCGCATCCGCCCTCGCCGCGAGCGAACCCTATGTCAAAATCCTTCGCGACCAGGGTGAGCCAGCAGGAGGAGGACCCAGGAGCACGGGCACGCAGCGCAAGCCTGTCTGCCCAGGGACGGGTGCCGCGTGACGAGGCGGCCGAGTCGCTGCCTGCGAGGCCGCAGAAGCCCTCGCCGCACTCGCCCTCGCCGCCACCACAGTCGGCTCGGCCCTCCCCGCCGCCGCCTCCCGCGCTGCCCTCGCCGCCTCTCGCCTCGCTCCTGTCGGCGTCGCCCACCGTGCCGCCTCCGCCGCAGCCCGCCTCGCCGCTCCCGCCAGAGCGCGGATGGCTCAAGGCGGCAGACTACGCCACGGCCGCGGCGCGGGGCTGCAGGGTCGTGGGCGGCGGCTTCGTCGGCTGGCGGGAAGCGCAGCCGACCGACGTCCTCAAGGGGCTCGCGCAGCGCCGCGCCGCCGCCGAGGCCGAGGCCCGGCGGCTCGCGGGCGAGCAGGCGGCTCGCTCCCTCGCGGCTCGCGCGCGCCTCCGGCGCCGTCTCTCCGTGTGGCGGGCGGCGAGCCAGCGTTGCCGCGCAGAGCGCGCGCAAGAGGCGCTCCGACAGGCGAAGGCGCAGGCTCGGGCAGCCTCTCTCACCGGGCAGGTGGAGGCGAGGCGGCGGGGGCGGATCGTCGCGGCCCTCGACGAGAAGACGTCCGAGGCGCTGGCGGTGCTGACGCTGGGCGCCGAGGGCCCGCGCTCGTTCGCTCTGCTGCCTGCCGATGCGGCGCGCCGAGCCGTCGTCTCCCTCAGGGGCGCCATCGCCGCCTACGACGCCAACCCCCGCCTCAAGCACCTCTCCGACGCCGAATCGCCTCCGGCTAGCGCGTACCGCAGGGCGTCCGACGCCCTCGCTCTCCTCCAGGAGGCAGAGCGGGGCGCGCTGAGCGAGGTCCGGGAGGCCGAGCGGATGGCGCGGGACGAGGTCCGGGAGGCCGAGCGGCTGGCGCGCATGGGCGAGCTCCTCGACGTCAGCGCGCGATCGAGGTGTCGCGACAAGTGGGACCTTCTCCAGCGCGAGGCGGCGAGGGCGGCCTGTAACGCGGCGGAGGCTGCACTGCGCGAGGGGTGGGGGCCGGGCGTGGTCGCCTCGGCCGGCGCCGCGGCGGCGCGTGGGACGGTGCTCGCATTGGTGCCTCCGCCGCCACACGCGGGGGGCGACGCCTGCCTTCGCCGGCCGCTCGTGGAGACGCTGCGTGACTCCGCCGTGGCGGCGCTGCGCGACGACGACATGAGCGGCGAGGCGTTTGCGCGCCTTCTCGCGGAGCGGGCGGCGAGCATGGTCATGCGGGAGGCGCTGGCCGAGGAGCGGGCGGCGGACACCTTCCGCGCTGGCCGGCGGATCTACCGAAGCCGCGCCGCCTTCGAGCAGGCCGAGCGTGACCGCGAGGCGTGGCACGTGTCCTACGTCTCCATGCACGTGTCCTTCGGCCGCCTTGACAAGTGTGGTGCCTACTACGCCGGCCCCGACGCCCCAGAGGGCACGCTCACCCACAGCCAGGTTGGCGACCGCATCCGAGCGGCGGTGGCAACACTAGAGGCGGCTGCGGCGACGCGGGAGGCGGGGCGACGCTTCCGGCGGTGGAGCCGCGACGCTCGCTGTCAAGCCGCCGCCTCAGCGATGCAGGCGCTCCTCCGATCGTGCCCGGGCGTGGCACGACGGCGCGAGTGCCGCTTCCGCTCTGCCAGGGCGCTTCAGGCGCTCGCTCGGGGAGCCTCGGCGCGGCGGCAGGCGAGGCTCCTCGCCTCGAAGCGCCGGGACAGGCTCGCCGACCTGTCGAGGCGACCGTTCGGGGCGGCGCTGGCCTGCCTGCCCCATCGCCAGAGCCGCGGCGCGGCGATCCGCCGGCAGGCGACGGTCCTGCCCGAGGGCGTCGCAAGCTACTACGCGAGACCCGAGGGCCCCACACGCCTCGACGTCGCCTCGGCTACATCGGCACTGCGCGGGGCCGCGACGGAGATATTCGCTCGCCTGGCTGGGGCCCGCCGGCTGGTCGCGTGGTTCCGGCGACGCTACGGACCGCCCGCGGCGCTTCCAACCGCACCGCCGCGCCCCGCCCCGCCGCCCTCACCACCGTGCCCTCTGCTCGCCACGCTCCGCGGGGCCATCAAGGCTGGCGCCGAGGCGGCGGCACTCTCCGACGACGGCAACCTCGCGCACGCCCTCCGCACGGCCAGGCGCGCCCGCGACGAGTATGCGCTCCTGCGCGCCCGCCACGCAAGGAGGGCTGCCGTCGCCTCTCGCCGTGCGCGCGCACGCAAGCGGCGAGAGGCCGAGCAGCTCCAGCGCGCGGAGGAGCTGGAGGAGGCCAAGCTGCTCGCGTCGGCCGTCCGCGAGGCGCAAGAGAAACAGGGCGCGGCGCGCCTCAGGCTCGAGGAGAGCCTCGAGGCGGAGCGGCGTGGGCGGGCGCGGCTCGACCAAGCGAGACGACCCGCCGGCGCCCACCACGCTAGCGACGCCTCCTCCTCCCTCGGCTCGCTCTTCCACTTCAGGGCCGGCGGCGCTCAACAACGCAGTGCGCGCCGGAGCCAGCCTAAGTCGGACGCGCCATCGCGAGAGATTGGGCGGACTAGCCGAAGGATCGCCGATAAGGCCGCCACGGCAGAGGCGGCGAGGGTGCAGAAAGAGGCGGCGAAGGCGGCGAAGGCGGCCGCGGCGGCGACGGCGGCGGCGGCGGCGGCGGCGGCGGCGAAGGCACACCGCGCAGCAGCTCGCCCAGGTGCTCCTCCGCTTCTGCAGCAACACCACGCTCACCTTCTTCCTTCGCACTATGCCGCCGTCGGTGACCCAGGACGCCGCGCGCGAGCACGACCGCCTGATGGAGGAGGCGCTCTACACCCTCGTGGGTGGCGCGCGGGTCGGACGCAACAGCCCACGGTGGCGGGTCGCTGTTCAGCAGGCCCGACTCCCGGTCAGGATGGGCGGTATGGGCCTGACCAGTGCCATGGACATCCGTGAGGCAGCGTGGGTCGGCACGTGGGCCCTCGTCACGCGGCCGATACGCGAGCTGCACGAGCCATTCCGCGACCTCGATGTGGCCCTCGCGCCGGGAGAGCGCTTCGACGAGCTTCGGGAGGCTCACAAACGCCTCCGCGCCGTTCGCGACGCGGTCGGCAAGACGTGGCGCGAGTGGGACGGGCGCACGCTATACCAAGACGTCGTCGGGCCCTTCCAGGAGACCAAGGCGGTGCCACGGCGCCGCTACCACCCGCCCAAACTTACGCCGGCGGCGGAGCTGCTGGATCTTTCGGAGTTCTCGTCTACCAGCGAGTTCTTACAGCAGGCGCAGCGGCGGTACACCGTCGGCGTACACCATCGCAACTGGCTCGCCCTCGCCGACGCCTTCGTCAGCGAGGCATCCCGGCAGGGCGGCCGCTACAAGACTGGCAGGTGCAAGAACCACAAGTGCTGGCGCGAGGCGATTCGGTTCGTCGCAGTCAGCCAGGAGGGGGCTGGCGCCTTCCTGAATGCGATCCCCATGCGGGATGATATGAAGATGGAGACGTGGGCGATGCGCATGACAGTTCAGCGCCGCCTCGGCCTCCCGCTCGATGTTGCCTGCCAGGCGGTGGAGGCGGGCAAGAAGGCGCCAAACGGCAAGCCGCACGAAGAACTCGGCGATGCCGCAATGGTCAACCCGCGTGCGAAGCACGCGACACGACACAAATACCTGCTCAAACGACTCGTCAAGACCCTTCGCTCGGCGTGGGGCATGCTCATCGAGATGGAGCCGACTGCACACCTCAGTTACAGTAACCCAAAACAACCTGACGTGGCGGCGGCGAACATCGGCAAAGGGCATGTGCGCCTCGTTGGTCCGAGAGCGATTCTAAGATCAGGTCTCCCACCTCCCCGCTGGAAACGAACATCTAAGTTTCAAATCTCGAATAAATCTCGAAGCACACTTGAATGCTCACTTGGCAGGTAACATATGCGCCACGCGCCTCAACCGCTCCTCTGGTCGCCGCCGGCCTCCGCGGGGGCGGCGATGTCCCAGCGCCACCCATCGGCCAGCCCTCAGATCGATCGATCGGCGCTCAAAGTCGGCTTCAGATCCGAGAACGCTGCTGGCGCCGCCGCCGATCCCAGCGGCGACGCCAGCAGCATCCTCTGCTCTCCAATGCGCCGAGAAGCGACACGGGGGTGCTCGGCCCGCCATGGACGACGAAGGCTCCGCCGGGCGCGCGTCGGCCGGTCCGGTGGCACCCTCTGCGCGCGGCACCTGCCGGCGCCCCGACGACAGCCGTCGCGCCACCGCTGATGGAGGGGCGGTCGGCGCCGCTGCCGCCGCGCCGCCGGTGGGAGGGGCACTGGTGG